AAATTAAACAATAGGCTCTACATGTATATATTTATTTTAATTTTAATATAAATTTTAATACAATACCTTTTTCGATATCTTTATTATAAAAATTGCAATTAATTGCAATTATTTCGCAATTAATTGTTTTGCAATTGTTTTTTTTAAAAATTAATTGTTTTGTAATTGTTGTTTGTAACAATATCAATTAAATTTAATTGAGTAATAATTTAATTGCAATTTAATTTTTGGTAGGCCTGCTACAAATATAGTATTTCTAGCATGTTTATGGTTTCGAGCCCTGTTATGTGACAAAAATATTACTTTAAAAAAATCTGGATGAGATTCTATGCTTACACTATTAACCGAGAGCAAAGCACAAATAATATGGTAGATAAATAAATTACAGAAATAGAACAGGATAGCAATAATACAACAACTCCCAGAAATAACAATTTACATAGACGCATCCCACACTGGTTAGGAAATGGTTCTAGAAAATTGTCTTATTTCTAGAAAATGGTCACCAATAGAGCAAAATCTTTAAATCAATGTCCTAGAAGCTCTAGCAGTATTCAAAGCACTCAAACGCCTCAAGGACCCTCAGAAAAAGTTAATAAGAGTGATGTCAGACAATCTTACTACAGTAATCTACCTAAACAATCAAGAAGGTACTGTATCTCCAATAGGTAGCAAAATAATAGAATCAATATGAAACTTCGCCTTAGAAAAATCAATAAGAATACATGCAGTTCACATACCAGGCAAAAACAACTAACTGGCAGACTAAGAGTCAAGGCACTTCTACGACAAACACGATTGGGAAATTCACTCTTATCTATTCGATCAAATAATATTCAGACTCAAGCTAGCACAAATTGATCTATTTGCAAATACTGACAATTCAAAACTTCCAAGGTTTTTTCTTGGAGAAACGAACTAGATACAGAACAAATAGATGTATTCACAATGTCATGGACAGAAATATTCAGCTACATCAATCTTCCATGGGTCCTAATATACAAGATGCTAGTAAAAATTTTACAGGACAGAGCGAAAATGATATTAGTGTTCCCCTTTTGGAAATCTGCATCATAGTACCCAACTCTGGTGAAGATCATCAAATCAAGACCAATACAGATTCCGAGTTGGGCAATTCTTCCAGGTTAACAGTTACATATATATCCAATTCGCAACCTCAAATGGAAAGTTTACATAGCACTTGTCTTAGGGAATCTTTTCAGGAACAGGAATATTTAAAACAAGTGTTTGAACTGGCTTCAAAAGCTCTTGATCCTATAGCATTGTCTACTGTATCATCTAACATTTGTATATGACAAAATTGGTGTAAAAAAAAAAGTTTAAACCTAATAAACTGTAGAATAAACAAAATTACAAGTTTCTTATATTACCAATTATCAATTGGTAAAGCCTACAACACAATAGCAGAATACAAAACTGCCATCAGCGAAATTCACCAAAAAATTGATAGTACAAAAATTGGGTCTCACCCTATAATTGTAAAAATAATAAAAGGAATTTGGGCTTTGAATCCCCTTTCACAACATACAGGGGGTGACAAAAATATTTTCACACCTAAGGACTTGGCTTATAACTCAAAAACTTACTAATTAACTTATATCCTTGATTTGACTATAGAAATCCTTACTCCTTGAGGATTATTCCATATCATTTTTAGATCACATGCTTGCATAATTAGCAAGTTATTTAACTTTACTTTTAGGGTTTTGATAAACTTTGTAAGTATCTATGTTTTTGTGTAAATATTTCAATAACTATTAGTCTAATTTTAATGAAATTTTACTAGCTTATAAATGAATCTTTTCTCTACCTACTGTAAAAATTTGATCAAATTTTAATTAATAATCAGCCAAAAAATTAAAAAAAACAAAAATTTTATAGATTAAACTTCTAAGCTAATTTTCTCAATAATTATTAATCTAAAATTAAAATTTTTTATTTTATCTAATAGATATGCACTTCCTCTACAATATAAAAAAAAATTTGGCTAAATCTAATTGCTAGTTACAGAGATAAGTCAAATAATCTATCATAATAAGTCAAATTTTATTCATCATTATATATCTCAATTATCTCGACAATTAGTTACAGACTTGCTACTTTTTTTATTTTATTTTGTAGAAGAGACGTAGTATTTCAAATAAAAAAAAGCTTGTTTGATTGTTATCACTAGAAGCCAAGATAATTGAGGTTAAAGTTTGCTATTAAATTGGTAATATTATACTATAATTTTTGTTAGCAATTGTCATGATTATCACATAACATAATCATTAAGGCATACTTGATTCACTTACATATATTTTCTAACCTTATAGTCTTTTATTAAGCACCTTTTTATTTTTTTTTCCCCTTCATATCTAGCTAAGCTAAAGAAAATACGAATTTAAATCTCCTAGCTAATTTTAGTATCACATAGTAGCCTATTTAATGATATCTACGCAATTATATATTCTCGGGCATATTCTGCTACATTTTTTTTTTTTTTTTTTTTAATTCTTTGACAGTCTTGTCGGTGCTCAAATACAAATTATATTACTATTAGACTAAAAACAAAACTTAAAAATTTCTAATAATATCTAATTAAAAATTGCAAGCCCAGCATCACCAGCTACATCATGTGTGCCCAGATGCAACTTGTCACACCAACCCACATGTGGGTTGGAAGACCTTGTTAGCTCTATCAAAAACTAAAATTCTGCTACATTTTAGTTAATTAAACTTATATATTAGTATATTTATACTATTTTTATAGTATAATATGTATGTACAACTTTTAAAGATAACTAAAACCATAAAGAGGTGTGGCGACTTAGTGTAGTGGTCTAGTCGTCACTCTTTTCAAGTGGCAAGTCTAGAGTTCAAATCCCACTGGTGACGATATTTAAAAAATGGGCCTGTGTTCAGTTGACAGCTATGCCTATCAGTTGGATCTAGAACTAATCTGTAACTTCAGTTACACCATCTAGTAATGAGAGCTTTGGCACAATAAATCCAAGGAACCGGTATAACCAAAAACCCATTTGGCAAGTCCTGAATTTGGAGGTAGCAGTGATTTTCGATGGTACTACAAAAGAGCTGAATTCGAATCGGGCCCGAGATTGGAGAACCAAACAACCAGGTCTGCTAGCAGAGAACACACTAGCCAAACCGCCGAGTTGTCACACTGGAGGAAAAGGGCATATGCTCCGAAAGTATGAACCAAGGGAAGGGTGTCTTTCAGGCACCTAAAGCCTGGGCAGACCAACTTTTCCGGGTTGCTAGCTGGAAGTAAGGGAGGGACTGATGAAGAATCGGGTAAGAAGATAGTCCAAATGCGGGTATCAGGGTTGTTGTGAACCGAATAAGGGCAGTGAGTACGTAATAGATGCCTGATTAGGAAGGTTGGTGCTTGAGAAACGTCCGTAGAATGGCAGCACCCCAAAAGGTGGCGTGAGATATGTATATGGAACAGCAGATCAATATGTACTAATTAGAAAGAAGTTATAAGAACATGCAGGTGAATACATATGTGAGACATGTACCGCTCTGTTAGGTTTACCTCAAGGATAGACTAGCTTAAGTTAGTAAGTCCTAAGATAGAATGCAAAATCTAATATGGATAGATGCAAAATCCACATATGAATGGTGAGTAATACCCACAGGTTAGAGGGCTGATGATGGTAGTTAGAACCAGATGGTTTAAATGGGTACCCCTGTAGTTGGGGTGCAGGTATGGCAGATAGTGTGGAACCTTTAGCATAGCACTAACATTTCGGGCAAACCACTTAAATTAGGCACTAAAAGTACACGTGTGGCTTGATGTACTATCATTGTAATTACACTATAAACATCGTCTATACTCTAATAAAAAGTTTCCAGGCCAATGAGGTCACCTTAATACCAAAAAAAAAAAAAAAGATAACTAAAACCATGCTTACCAGCTTATTTGCTTTGAATAAATTAAATTAGCTAGTAAACATGTATAAAATAATTTAAAAAGTACATATTAAAGATGAATAAATACTTAGTTTAGTAGTAAATTTTCATAAGCCTAAATGCTGATTATTTTAAATAGTTAAATAGTTAATTTGTAGTTATAGAATTGGAAGAGAAGTTAGTAAACTTAGATTTAGCTCTTATAGGCTATATATAGTTAATAGATAGCAATATACAAAGAGACTTCTAATCTAATTATTCAGGAATAGGTCTTTATGGCCAATGCTGCCTACTTTCTTTATATTAATTAGAGTAATATCGGAAATATGGGCTTAATTAAAATTATTTTATACATAATAATAAATAAAATGAGCCCACCCTATTATATATATTGAAGTGTTCCGACCATCTCAAAAATTCCAACCCAGGTGAGTCCCAATGACAGAAAAAATTCTGCTACAGATCACCTGCGGGTGGGTCATGGATGATAATCCAAAATCTTGATATGCTTACATACATATATATGTTGTAGAAGTAGTAAGTAAAATATTTAACCAAAAACTAATACTATTAAGTAATTGGCTAAGAGCAATGATAAAAAAATTGGGCCAGAATTACTAGAATTTTATCAATAAAATCGCAACCGCCTATTATAGCTGCTCTCATAAATTTTGAAACATCTGGTAAAAAATTGATTGAATAATTATTTGGCTGATTCGATAAGTTTTTGATTCAGCAGTGAGTTAATTGAGTTTGATTAGTTATATAGCAATAATGATATATATTTTTTGCGAATATACTCTGAATGGTACTACAATGTTAACATATCCAAAATTAAGATTTCGTTTGAATGCATGTCCATTCTTGCCAACTAATAAATCTTAAAAAAAATATAGAATTACATTACATGAAAAAATACTAATAAAAAAAAAAAAATTCTATATGAACAAGTTTTATTGACTAAACTAAATAATTTAATTTTTAAAATATAAACCAAAAAGTACTTTAGCTTATTCGTTTATAGTAAACGTTTAAAAATGCCTAGCTTGCCTAAAGTAATTACTGTTGGATTGAAATATCTAACTTTGTCTAAAGTAATAGTAACTTTTAATAACCAACTTATCTGAAGTGCAAAAATAAAATAGTAATGATGATATACATTATCTTTGTTATTAGCAAAATAAACATATTAATACGTAATCGCTCATAACTGAAATCAAAAACTTATCGAATTGGCTATACAATCATTTGGTCATTTTTTACAGGATGTTCTAAATTTTATAAAAACAGCTGTAATCCTGGGCCAAAATTGTATAGTGCGGGCTTATTTTAAAAAATTTCTATTTTTGTAATAAAAAATTAAAAAGTTAAAGCTGGCCAGAAATTAGTAAACAATTTTGTAATGCTGGCTGTTAGCCAATCAAAATCGAGAATCTGCCATCCAATTTTGTTACGGTAGCTATAGTTAATTGCAACCAATGGGTAACTCGTGAGTTGACTACCCGGGTGGCTATAATTTCAAACTGGGTCACTGGGTGAGGCCTACCCAAGTCAAAACACTAGTTCAAATATTATCAAAACCTGATAATAGTTTAATTTTAACTTTAATAAAGATAACATAATTGATAATTATTCTACTAAGAAATTAATAATAAGTTCTTCGCAAATATTAAATTATGAAGTTGATTTAGAATTAAATTAGTTGGGTGATGTGTGAAAAACCAGGCATTGTATTTGGGAGATATTTTATATTAAAATTAGTTAATCATATGCATAGTTATATTCCGAATCTTATTTAAGAAACAGTTGAATAATACCTAAATCTTAAGTAGTGGCCAATGATAATTGAATCTATTGATCTGATTAGTCACTTCCCTGATTCAAATAATAAATAAAAGGTAAAAATAAATAAATAAATAAATAAAAAGTAAAAAAAATAGGGCTAGTATCACTTTGTAGTATTAAGAAAATAGAGGTGAGAAGTGTGTGATGTGCGATAATACCTGTACATTCATAGTAAATCAGAATATGTATATAATAAGGTGGGCTTACTTTACTTATTATTATATATAAAATAATTTCAATAAGCCCACATTTTCAATCTTACTTTACTTAACATAAAGAAAGTAGGCAGTGTTGACCAAAAAGACCTATCTCTAAATAATTAGATTAGAAGTTTCTTTGTATATTGCTATCTATTAACTATATATAGCCTATAAGAGCTAAATCTAAGTTCGCTAACTTCTCTTCCAATTCTATAACTACAAATTAACAATTTAACTATTTAAAATAATTGGCATTTAGGCTTATGAAAATTTACTACTAAACTACCGTATCCTATCGTGAATAAGCACTACACCCTCTACCCCACTTTTTTAAA